CGGTTTTAGGTGTCGCAGAATCCAAGTTTGTCGGTTTTGTTATCGGAATTAAAACGGTCATTCAAAGCCTACCGTTTTTGCTTATTTGTTAGTGCTCTGCATTTGAAGTAGCTGGTTATTTTCTTAAAATGTAAGTAAATGTATTATATTTGGTATGAAATTCACTTCGTTTTTAATACTTAAATTATATACATATGTATTTCTAGGGGAAAACATAAGAATAGAGCACAAAATGATATACTCTTGCAATTTATGGAGAAGTACCCGGACATCGCCAAAGGCTTTACAAGAAGGGATAAACAACTAGTAGATTCCCTCTGGCAGCAATTAGCAGAATCACTAAACAGTGCTGGCCCGCCTACAAAGGATATAACTGGTTGGAAAAAGGTAATCAACAAAGCGTACTCGTGCATAATGGCCAAACCCTACGTTACCCTCTAATTTTCTTCTAATTTCAGGTATGGACGGACTGGAAAAGTGAGATAAAGAAGAAGTTGGCGCAGAATAAAGCCGAGGAACGCGCCACTGGTGGAGGACCCTTTTCCAAGAATACACTGAACCAGACGGAGGAGAGTATTGTGCGTATTTGCGGAATGGTGCAAAGGGTTGAAGGTGTTTCAGGATCAGCACTTGGTCTCGAGGAGGAGTACCTCATATCTAGTGACGATGACATGCCTTCAACTTCTGCGAAACGTCCACGCCTTCAATGTCCGCAAGTTCAAAACCCAAAAGCGAAGGAAACCACAAGTGAGCGTCTAAACAAATTTATGCAGTTGGATAAGGAATGGAAGCAGGACGTCCGAAACAAAATGGACGCTATGTTAAAATTCAACAGGAAGGAAATGAATCGAATGAGCTACTAATTAATTCCGTTAATAACTTAACGCAGGAGTTCATGACCTTCAATGCCAAAATTATTGAATTGCTAGAAAAACGTGAAGAGGAGATACATGACCCCTTAGTCGATTCAGAATAATTATAAGATTTGCTGTGTAAATAGGTTGTGAACCTTTTTAATTAATTTCATATATGTACCTTCACATTTATAGTACAAATTAGTTTGATAAGTATTGCCAAGAATGAATGTTTGAGTTTTATATATTTTTGAGAGAAACTTTTTTAAATATACCAATTAAATTTTTAATTAATTGCAATTCTTATTTAAGGCATGTATGCATATAAATAATACCACAATTGGTAAGCATTGTTGATTACTTCATCCACAGATCCATTCAGGTAACTAGTTATACTTGCTGCCACTGGAATTGCAACATGTATGAAAACTCCAAGAAAATGAAAACATACATAAGTACATGTTTCTAAAAAATTTACATGTTTATTGTAAGTTGAATTGTGTTACATATATAAATAAACTTATATAGCAAATATGAATAAACATATTGGCCCGTAGTCATAGTCAAAATAAAGTCGACTTTAAAGTTAATTGCAGCTTTTTTTGACTGATATCCCATTGAAAATTATGTCAAAAAGCTGCAACTAACTTTAAAGTCGACTTTATTTTGAATATGACTACGGGCCATTAAATTCACTTTACGATGACATTAAATTTCACTTACAAATAGTTTGACTTGCTTATACAGTCACTCACACAAGTATTTGTAATTTAGTTTTTTCACAATATTCAAAATGTTTTCCATCATAAATCTTTTTTGCTAAATTTTATTTAAAATGTAGTTGATTCTATACCAAAAACCATATAAACCAATCTTGCAAACTTTGTACAAAATTCACAAAAGTTAAACAAACTTTAAAAATTGTTCATTAAAATTTCAAACTTTTTAATCAGAATTTTTAGAAAATTTTTGGGTATGCAGTTAATTCTGTTTTAGTCGAGGGTGTTGCGCATTTTCTTCCATGTAACGCATGAACAAAATCTATTTTCAAAATAAAAAAAAATCAACGGTAATTTTGACCTACTTTGAGACTGAAACTTAATTAAACTAAAATTGCATGAACTACAAAACTGCATACCCAAAAATTTTCTAAAAATTCTGATTAAAAAGTTTTAAATTTTTATGAACATTTTTTTAAGTTTGATTAACTTGTGAATTTTGTACAAAGTTTGCAAGATTGGCTAATATGGTTTTTTGTATAGAATCAGCTATATTTTACATAAAACAAAAAAGATTTATGAAGGAAAACATTTTGAATATTGTGAAAAAAACTAAATTACGAATACTTGTGTGAGTGACTGTATGTAAAACTCTTATTTGTAATTAACACCTAACTAAATAAAAGCAAAAATTGTTTTCCCAACAGGCTTAAAAAAATTCGGTAGTAAATTAATTAAAACTCTCATAGTATTCATCTAAACGTTTATGTGCCACTTAACCGTGCAAACCTCGGCATTCTCACATAGACCCCCTGCTTTGGCGTTGGTTGAATATTCGCACTTTTGAATGCAGCATTTTTGTATGCACTTTCACCAGCTTGCCATAGTTTCGTATCGGAATCACCAATTTAACAAAATCCTCATGTACATTCTTGATACGTGCCTGTTGTTAAATTGGTACTGGAGCAAGATACGGCCCCGATGATACCTGCAGAAGAATTATTCAAAGCAAAAAGGGAATATTCATACTTTCTTCAAGTTTCAATAATCATCATTAATTTCCTTTTACTTGGCAACATGCAAAGCATAACCTCCGACTTAAGCGACACGTTATTTAACTATGGCTGTCACAAATTCATCAGGTTTTAAATCCAAAGTAAAGACTTTTTCGTCGACCTTCTTTGCATCATCGGTTCAAATGTAAAGTGTATCCATTGAATAATAGTCACGCATTCGCACCTTATGTTTTGTTTTCTTTGCCTATTTAACCAGCTACTCATCCTTATCATAATTCCCCTTATATATGACCTTAATAGAGCGGTACTGTTGCTCAATAGGTTGTTTATTGGACCACGTGCGTAAATTTAAAATTAAATACACAAGTATGGTAAAATGCATTACATACAAAACGCGTGCATTATCTGTAATTAAAAAAAAAAATCGTAAAACACGTCCATATGTAAATACAGAGAGTAAACTATTTGATTTAATATCATTCATACATTAATACATACCTCTGTTTCTCCCTTCTTCCTAAATAAATTCAAAGTTTGCATGTAACATAGACCGTAGTATACTATAATCTTGTAGGTGATGACATTATTGCGTAAAGACTATTAGCAATCTCATCCCTTATTCTACGGCCCTCATTTTGAATATTGCTAGTTTGCAGCATAAAAGTGTCTTCATGAAAATTCTCTGATGTAGTAAGAGTAGCATTTTCATTCCATTCTACATTATACTGTCGACAGATGTTATGCAGCGCGCAACAGACATTTACAATTTTAACTACCTTCTTAGGTTGATAGTGTAAAGTCCTTTGCAAGCAACGAAATCGGCTCTTTAAAACTCCTATAGTTCGTTCTATTATGTTGCGGGCTGAGGAATGCGCGTTCTTAAATTTATATTGTTGAGATGCATATTGGGGATCCCGATAGGGTGTTAACATAAATGGTTGTATACCATATCCGGATTCGCCCAGTAGTCTTGATGATCGGTCTCCATTTTCGTATTCCTGTAGAAAATATTGGCTCGCATTGCTTACATTCCATACGAAAGAATCATGGCTTGCGCCGGGGTATCGTGAATCAACCGCACGTATTATCATATTGCTGTCACAAATCTAACAAAAAGCTTCAAATTGCATACTACCTTCAATATCAAAAATGTAAAATTTACTCACAAGCATCGCATTCATACTAAAATATCCTTTTCTGTTGAAGAATAAATGTTCATTGTTATGAGGTTTAATTATTTGAATATGCGTCCCATCGATACATCCTACGATGCCAGGAATTTTGAATTTGTTGTAAAAATAATCCCTCGACGCTCTTTTTTCGTCTGGATCCATTTTCAACTTGACCCATTGACGGCAAATGTGATTCTCCAAAACTCTTAACATTTGCGTCAAAGTTTCAGATACAGTGCTTCTACCCAAACTTATATTCATATCATTCCCTACGGAACGCTGATATGATCCTTCTGCTAGGAAGCGAAGCACTGCGCACAGCTTAAGAATTGACGAAATGGAAGTTGGGGGTATATACCTTTCGATAGTATTTAGCACCATTACAAATGCCTCTTTGTTTAACCGATAATGAGCTACAAATCTGTAAGGAAACAAGTATGCTGCCTTAAATGAGAACACTTATTTGCATGTATACTTAATGATTTGCTCTTGCTTACACAGGCTCCGGAAGCTCCAGAGGATTGTTGTGATCTCGTAAAACTCTCCGCTTCAATTTTTCTAACCGCTCTTCTTCCATAATTAAAAGCAATAAAAGAACAGAACTCATGTTTTTTATCGCTATTTCACCAAAAAATGCACAAATTTAATAAATTATTTGCTATTTGCTACAAAATACCACAATCACAATGCAGAGGTGGACAGAAACAGCTGATTCGAATATCGGATTTGCTCATCAAAAATCATCAAGTTACTTCAGCAGAGCGAGACTGCCGTTGCCACTGCAGGTAACAATCTGCATTTATATAAAGTTTTGCATTATACTGTAGCTAAGTTTTTATAGCCGTTTGCGAGTGATACTGTTGATGCAACTATATCTGATGAAAGTGTGAATAATAAGGAAAATAGCCTTACGGAAGCAAATCTTTCCGATATTCCCACGACTTCGACACCTTGCAAAGATTTTATTATGACAGCAGTTTGCAGTAAGCTGAAGAGTTGGAAGCAAAATTGCATGTTTTTAAAAGCAATATAGCACTACAAATATTGGTTTATTGAACAGTTTTCTTTTTATTACATGCATATTAGAGAAACATCAAAGCAATAAAATATGAACCTGCGAAAAGAAAACAAAAAGCAATGCACAGAACTGGCAGAACTCAAGCACGAGTATGAAAAAAATAAACAAAAAAAACACGTTTACGAGGTAGAGCAGATGCAAAAGCCCTTGGAGGAGTGATAGATACATGAACTTCACTGCCTACTTATTTTTGTTAGTACCTGATTCTTTTTAGTGCAGGTATGAGGTAATGCTCCAGTGGATAAGGTCGCCAGGCGCTAATTCAAGCGGCATCTTACCGCGCTGTTACGAACCTAATACAAAACAGTGCCCAAATTATTATACATTTAAAAGTTCAGCTGAAATCATGTTTTACTTACATAGAATATTTGTTTCCAAAGAAGCCACACTCATACATCCTCTCGGAAATGGTAAAAAAGTCATTGAATAAAAGCTGTGTAGTTTATGATGGTTGGCTACCGTCCACAAATATAAATATGCACTCTGCATGGGTTTTTACAATGGCGAGTCCAAAAATTCACTTTGCTGCGCACCTTCCTTTTTGTATACATGAAATTGCAAACACTGTTAATACATCCATTTTTTCATGTGCTAAAAATCGTACTTATCTAAAGGGCTACATGTCCAAAATTATTGCTACGTATTCCTAATTAATCAATCTTTGTATATTTATTGATTCCCGCAAAATTGGGCCATGTAATATTAAAATTAACATATTTTTCTGCATTGTTTACATATTTTTATATGCGTTTTGGCATTTCTCTCTCGCAATTGCACCAAGATGACGTCACGCAAAAATTACGCCCAAAAATCCTCTCTCATTGGCGCAATCTTGTATTCTATCATTCTTGATAGTTACCAAATCTTAGTTGAGGCAACCACGATTTGGTTTGAGAGCGGAACATATTCATGCTTGTGAGCAGTGTTGCAAGGTCTTCGGCGTGAGAAAACGTCCCTCTTGGTCTGAAAAAACGTCATTTCCTACCCAAAAACGTCTTTTTCAAATGTTTGCACAAATAAACTTTTATTGTATACAAAGGTACATATGTACGTAAGGTATATTAAAAAGTAATTTCGACAGAGCACATTTAAGATTCATTCTGAACTGGTTTGAGATCGTTAATATAAAAATCATTT